TCATCACCATCCAGGGATTATGGGCACAGCCAGGGCTGGAAGGGATGTGCTGGGGCAGCAGGAAAAGGAGAGGTCACACTGCACAGGGTTTATTCCCTTGTAGGCTGGGTGGGATGTTTGCACTAAAGGAAGGCTCAGAGGAGTATGTTAGGTATTTTTGGTTTAAAAAACCAAATGTTTTTAAATCAATAGTGTGGATCACAATGACTTCTTTTGCTGTATGAAATTCTGACTCTCCACCTTTACGAGTTTGTCAACTCTTGTACTTTCCTAAGAGGAGCTCTTTCTGCACTGACAGCTCCTTGTTTTACTGTCTTGACTTTTTCTTGAAAAAATGATACAGTTGAATTGCATGAGCAAAGTAAGCATGTGTTAAAGAACAATGGTAAAATAAACTTTAACCAATTTCTGTCCTTCCTGAACAGTGAGAAACCACTACAAAACGTTATGTAAGACTTACTATTCTTCCCATGCTTGTCTGAGCCATAGTCCACAGAGTTAATGTGGTCATTAATCAGAATGCATGGTTTTGCCCTTCAAAGGCTCTTCCATGCCTTATGCTGCCAACTGGATATCTGTCTGTCAAGAGCAGTTGTGGCAGCTTATTTGGTGCCCAGTTGGATGTTTCAGAAGGTGATACAACCTCAGCCAGAAAGCTGTTGCACTAACTGACATGAAGTAGTTGGGAAAATCACAATTGCTGAACTGGAACTAAGCAGTGGATCATTTAAAAATACAATATTTACAAGAAAGGAATGAACAGGCAATTTTGGCTTAAAGTTGATAACTCAATTCCTATTCAGGCATGATCCCAAAGGTAAATACGTACAGATTTGGCCACTGTGAACAAAATTAATTTTAACAGCAGTTGAACTGAGCAATTCAGATCTGAGAAGAAAAAGTTCTTTTGAGACTGTGCCTTTCAGAATTTCCTTTAAGCTGGGAGAATCATTTTCAGGAGAAAAATGTGGAGAAGTTTGAATTGCACCTAAACCAGGAAGGTTCCTGTCCTCACTAGTGAGTATGCACCAAAGAATGTTACTCTAGTTAGTCTGATCATGCTTATTAATTATACAGCACAAGGTAATCTGGCCTCAGCATGGGCAGCATGTTTCCTCATTGGTGTAGGATTGCAAAAGCCTGAGTGTTTTATTTGCAGTATTGCATGGCTGTGCTGTGTGATACCAAACCAGGCTGTAAGGTAAGACATCTGCCCTGTGGCTTTGGTTAATTTATACAAGTAGTCATTATGCCCAGCTCTAGCACTCTTTGTCATTCTCCAGTTTTATCAATTACAATTCTATATTTTGTATTTATATTATGTTTATAATTTATTATGTTTTATATTTCTAAACTGGTGACATTGTTGAATAGCATTAGGCCTGATCCTGATGCTGTAGGACTGCATGAAGGGTGTCCAAGCAGTGGTGATTCCTTGTCAACAAAGAAATCTTCAGGATCTGTCATTTGCCAGTTCTTAACCCTTCATGTGCTCTACAAAATTGTGCAAAGCAAACTTTACACCGCAGGACTGTGCCCCCCAAATTGTTCTGCAGAGCCACCTGACATTGCTTCTGCCTCGTGCATCAATCAAAGCACAAAGGGGAGAGGAGCAGAAATAGAAGAGAACAGGCCTGGCTACCGTCACTCCTGCGAGGGGACTTTGCAGCTCGTGTTTGGAAAGGACAAAACCCCAACAATGCCGGCCCGCTCGTCAGAAGCGATCACATCAAAGCCGCGGTCTCAGCGAGAGCCAGCGCGGCGCGGCTGCTGGGAGTGATGCAGCATTGTCCGTGCTCACCCACACGGCAGGGCTGGGGCTGCAGGCTCTCCGTGCCTGTGAGCAGGCAGGGACGGATGGACAGACAGACACTGGCTGCTGTGCCTGGGCCAGCAGAGCCCCTCTCCCTGCCCTGGACCCACAGGCCTCAGTCTGGGACACCTGGCAGGGAGGATGGATGTGACCAAAGAGGAGGAACCTTCTGGGTAGCAGCAGTCCACTTGGGTGCCTTCCTGGACTGATGTCACAACATGAACTAAGATGTTTTGTGGTTAAAGAGGTTTCAAAAGACTTCAGATTTCTGTGTTATTTTGGCATTCTTATTTTTCCTGAGATCACGAGGTTTGACGAGGATGGGGAATCATAAATTCCTGAGTCAAGACTTCTGAGGGTGTAATACTTGCAAGTAGTAAAACACATCTCTAGCCAGTATACTGGGGAAAGAGGGCTGAGCAGGAAGGAGGAGCCAACCTGTAAACAGCAACAGCTCAGGTAACTCTTGCAGTCCTTTAATTAACACTTCTAGTCTCTGGAGCCCAGCTTTGGTGGCTGTTTATCTACTTCGGAGGGATTGGGATCATGACTGTTGAACTGTGGGGATTTGTTTGAAAACCACAATAGCAGAAAAAAAAGTAAACTGAGAGCAGTGGCATAGTGTCAGCTTCATCAGGGTTCTGCTGTGCACGGGGTCAATTGCCAAACCTGCTAATGCAGAGTGAAGATTAATTGGCTTTGGTCAGCCTTTGCTTCACTATCTGAATATCATTATCAGGAATGTAAATGATTATGCAATGCAGAGAAATGCCACAATAGTCTCAGTGTCTCCTTTTATACTTGTCTCTTTGTGAACGGGGCTTTATCTAAATGCAAATGTGATTTCAGCCTTCTGATTAGGACATTATACAGTCATCCATTCCAGAAAAGCACAATTAGCGGATTATTTTATTTCTGACTCAACAGTTCTTGGTGTAGATAGTTTGTTTGTTGTGCTGTGCACGATATTTAAGTTATCAGAGGGAGATTTACATTATTAGTCAGGATTTTAGCCAGATTTTGTGAAGTTGAGGGTTTTTGCGTGGCAGATAAAACTGGTAACATTTGTGGGATTCGAGGGGAGATGTTTTCTGAACAAAAGGCAACAGTGCAGATTCTTACTGTGCTTCATTGTCCTTTTTGTGCCGAGGAAGGGGCAAATCACAGGAGAGGCTGTGCAGATTCTCCAGTGCTTCGGGGTGCACAAGAGCAGGGTGTAGCATTACCTGTTGCCAGGTGTGCTTGTACAGGGCACCAGTATCTTAGAACCTAACAATGGGCAGGTCTTGAGATTATTTCTTATTAAATAGCCACTTTACCAAAACAGCTATGAAGTTTCCCATGTGTTGTAGTAGATTTCCAGTGAAGATTTCAGTGGATGAAGTTACATCCTAAGAAAAACATAGATCTTTGGTGATAAACTTCCCTGTGAAGCTTGTCCACATTGCAGCATTTGTAGCATTTTTGGAGCTGTGAATCTGGCAGAACTCAGGTGGTTTGGTTTTTTAATTTGAATATGAGAGCCTCATAGGATAATAGGTGGGGTGAAAATTTCCATCTTCAAACCTTTTAGAAAGTCCAGTATTTATGAAAGGCAAAGGATGAAAAAAATTCATCCATGCAAATGTATTTGTCACACAATTTGAATTCAACAGCTCATCATTTTCCTATGAAAAATTACTGCAGTGGAAAATTCCTAATTATCTATAGTGAAACATTTTCAATTCTATTGATCAGTTTCCTCTTTCCATATCCATATGTTTCCATGACTGGTTCCTTCCTCTCTCCCAGAGCTGCTTTTCTGTGTGCTGGAGCAAGCTGTCCTGGACATTCCCAGCACAAGAGGGATCTTTGCATTTGTGACAGGAAATCTATTGCACCACTTAGGTTTAATTAGAGCACAGTGACATATGATGAGTTTACACATCAAAGCCTAGAAACAACTTCACAAATTGGCTCTGGTCCCAAAGTGTATTTTGGGATCTGTATTGAATTTTGGGATGTTTCAGTGTATTAAGTGGGAATATGTGAAATGCAGGGTTGGGTTCTTAGGGTCAGTGGAATTATACAAATTCTTATCAGCCAAGAATATAGCCAAAAAAACTTGTGTGCAAAGTTAAATTTAGGTTCAGATCAATTTGAATCCAACTGCATGTTCCAGTTTTCTGTAGTGGATGATAAAAACTTCTCTCTCTCATGGAGAGAAGGGCAGGGAATAATTCAGTCTGTATGTTAGGAGTCACATTTTGGAGCTGCTTGTCTTTCTGCTGCTTGAAGGGGAATCTGGGATCTCTCGGCTGAGTGTCAGCCGTGTAATCACCTCCCCTACCTGAGTGCCAAAGTGAAAGGAATCCAAACCAAAAATGCATGGAGTTGATGCCCAGCATAGGTTTCACTGCAAAGAGAAAAGGATATTTTACAGAAAAAAACATAGGAAGAAAACAAGAGATGAATGTGTTGAAGCTTGGTGGTATTTGGATCCCATTATGATGGACATTTATAGGTGCATAGAGAGGAGAATTTCCCCACTGCAACAAGATTTAGTCTGTGCAAATATACAGCCCAGGCATGTAATAGCTGCCGTGGTGTACTCTGAAATACATTTGGCTAAAGGACTTAAATTACTTAAGAAAAAGGAAAAACTTATTTCAAATAACGAGTAGGTATCATAATGAGTGCTAAAACAATGGCATGCACCTACTTCATTATTCAGTTGTTTATTTATTATTTTTATTCTTAAGAGTAATGATGTAAAAAGTGCCTCTTTCCCAATGTTAATTTAGTTCTTTGCAGATGGCAACCATCTGTTAAATGACAAGGCATTTACAGTCTTTGATTAGCACTTTATAGGACTTGGATGGACTTACTGTTACGACATGTAAATATAGTTATGGAAGTGAAACTTGGTAGATTTGTTCTTTTCCTGTTGCTGTTACCAATACATGTAAGATTTCAGACCTAACAATGTTTCTTTCTCTCTTCTCCTGTATTTATCCATGTCGTTTCCAGGTGAAGCCTTGAAATTCTTGACAGAATGACAAAATAGGAAATACTGTTAAATTCCAGCGCCATTTGTAGCCATTGTGAGCGTCCTTATTCTAAAAAGACACCGTGTGGATGAACTCCTCGGGATGCTCGAGGAAAGCACTGAAGTTTGAAGGACTTTCAGGATCCTGGCTGTGACACAGGTTTGGGTACTCACCGAAAGTCACCCTGGCAGTCTGCCTGTAAAGCACTGTGGCTCACGGGCTGTCCCCATCACGGAGTGATCCTCCGGAGTGAGCTCCGCACTTTGTGCTTTGCTCCCTTGAGCCGTACAGCCACCCCGTCTGTCCAGAAACCCAGCAAGCTCTCACTCATTTCACGCTGGGGTTTTTCTGAGGTTTCTGCAGGTGCTGCTGCCGAGCCTCATTCTGCCGGCCCTGCTCTGGTTGCGTGCTGTAACCCGCGCTGTCGGTAACGCTCCCGGTGGCTGTGGCTTGCCGTGTTGCCGAGCCCGGCGGCCCGGCCATGTCCCCGCTGCCCGAGGTGCGCAGCTCGGTGCAGCTGTACCGGTACCTGCTGCGCTGCTGCCGCCGCCTGCCCGCGGGCCCCATCCAGCAGCACTACCGGCACGCCATCCGCCAGGTGAGCGCTGGGCTCTCCTGCAGCCCGGACACCTTAGTGCCTCTGGAGGGCTGTGTGAAAAACCGTTTCTTTTTGTTTGCTTTGAATCTGGAACCTGCTTTTCTTGGCTTTCATCTCTAGTTCTTGTGTTAGTCAAGAGAGTGAGCAGTCATTACTTACTCCATAAACACATATTTTATGGTGAAACCTACTGGTTCCATGTCAGTCATTTATGTATACCCCCACTGGGGGAAATCTCATCTGACTGTTCATATTCTATTCTTCATATGGAAGTAATTTCATGCCTTTGATCATACCCGTTGTCCTCTTTCTACTTTTAACATACCAGACAATTTAAATTGCTCCGAATTGAAGTTCTCTGGGGTTTTTGTTGTTGATGTATGAAAGGAGTAAGACACTTAACATGAAATTCCATATGACCAGATTTGTTATGGAAAGAGGATGGCCAGGTGTTACAATATGTAGTTTTACCTTTTTAGACCATCAGTGTATTTGCAACAAATATTTTTCTGAGATTTAAATGCTATCTTTATTTTGACAACTGTTGTGTTGACAAGTCAGTGACACTTGGAATGTTGCAGAGTTTCAAAGTCCATGCTGATGAAGACGATCCTGAGCGAATCCAGCAGATCATTAAGAGAGCCATTGAAGATGCTGACTGGGTGATGAATAAAGTAAGTGCTGCATTTTGGTTCCAGTTCAGAACAAAGAAGAAAACATTGGAAAGCAAGTTCTGAATAGCGAATTGTCCTGGATGTTGAAGTGTCTGGTGAAAGGAAATACCCAGCCAGGAGGGATCTCTGATTGACGTTTTTTGTTTAAAAACTCTCTTAGTCAGCATAAACTAACGGTGGAGTTTTTTCAGAACCAGTAACAATTTAGGTTGGTCTCTGTGTAAGTCTTTGTTTCTGTGAAGAATTCTATTAAATAGCAGTGGTGGCTAGTATCACTCTATTATAGGAGAAAAAATTAAAATACAGCATTTTGCAAGCCACATCTTGCTGTGCATCATCTACTTTCCTAACAGCATCTGTCCTCAGACAATTTACATGAACTTCCAGAACTGCTGTTGCTTTTCCTCAGACCTTGCCCGTGTCTGCAGAGATCAGGGGCAGAGCACACAGTGGCAAAGCTGTGGTGCTTTGCCTGTGCACAGCTGTCACCCAGTGGATCTGTGCTGTCACACTGGTTTCTCAGATGGAAGAATGAGGATGGTTTCCATCAGACAGCTGAGAGTCACCCGTGCTTCCTGGGATTTCAGTCTGGCCGGGGAGTGTGATACCTTAACATGGTGTATAATGAAACAAGTCAAAAGTTCAACTTTCTCTCTAAATATCTGTGCTTTAATTTACTAAGTGACTGTTAAGTCCTTCTCTCTGCCAGTCCATGAAATCCAAATGAGAATTGTTACAGGAGTGAGCACGGATTAGTCCCAGATTATGATATTTTAGCAGTAACCAAATCCCAGCAGGTACAATCTAGTCAATAACTGTGCCTGATTTATTGTTTTATACTGCAAAGGGAAAACCTACCAAATTTCAATCTAACTTAAAGAAAATGGACACAAATTTATGTGGATCATGAAGAAGAGTTGTAAATCCTTGTTGGTATTAACTTTTACTTAGTTATGTGCTCTATTCCACAAAAAAAATTTTTTTTTTTTTTTTCAGTATAAAAACCAGAAGTAGAAGAGGAAGGATGAAACCAAGGAGGACATTGGTAAACATCCTTAGAGGACTTGCAGTCAAGCCCAGTACTGTATTAGAATTATTGCCTGAAGTTTTGTCTTGGATAATATAAATACAATAATTTACATTTCACTGAGATGTCATGAAGCTAAATTAATATTTCTGAAGAAATTAAATTTTGTAAATTGCCTTGTATAATCACGAACTTCTAAGCTAAAGCCCAAGCTTGCCTAACATTTGAGTAACTTATTCCACTATACTGTTAGGCCTGAATCAACCCTAGCAGTGCGTGATATCATTTGTAGTGTGGGTTCTTTGGGGACGAGGTTCCCCTGCATCAGTCTCCGTGCATTTGGGGACTGAGCATTTCATCCTCTGTGTGTGTGACACTGGCACTCTGCTGGGACGGCCGGTGTTGTCAGAGTGCTGCTGAGTGGGGTCGGTGCCCGTTCAGCCGGGTCTGTGCCCTGTGCCATGCTCTGCAGCTCAGAGGCTTCACAAGGCCTTGCAGCACACAATGAATGTCCTTTAGGCGGGGAGTCCGTGTCCTTGTGGCGCAGCCCTTCCCGCCGGTGCCGGGCTGGGTTTGCCGAGGGAGCGGAGCTGTGCCCGGGCTGGGTTTGCCGAGGGAGCGGAGCTGTGCCCGGGCTGGGTTTGCCGAGGGAGGGCAGCTCTGCCCGGGCTGGGTTTGCCGAGGGAGGGCAGCTCTGCCCGGGCTGGGTTTGCCGAGGGAGGGCAGCTCTGCCCGGGCTGGGTTCCCGAGGGAGCGGAGCTGTGCCCGGGCTGGGTTTGCCGAGGGAGCGGAGCTGTGCCCGGGCTGGGTTTGCCGAGGGAGCGGAGCCGTGCCCGGGCTGGGTTCCCGAGGGAGGGCAGCTGTGCCCGCGCTGTGCCCGCGCCGCCGCCCGGCTGCAGTTGCGGCGGGCCGCCTGCAGGCGGCGGTGCCGCCGTGCCCAGGGCAGGGCAGGAGCGCGCTCCGGGCGCGAGCGGAGTTTGGCAGCGCCGCGCCAGAAACGGGGCTGCCGCTGAATGCAGTGTTGTGTCAAAAAACTGCCTTTCCTCTGCTAACCCTCCTCTCCTGGGATTCCTGCTCTCTGTTACACTTCCCTCTGCCACCGCCACTCTCTCTGCTCCCGTGTCTTTCACGTCACCCTTATGCACCCTTAACTTTTGGCGTCTTTGTTTTACCTATTGCTTAATGCTGTTCTCATCTTGTCTCTCTACCTCCCTTATTTCTACTCCTCAAATCCTTTTCTGCACCAGATGATACTCAGTATTATGCTGGAGCCAGCCTTCTGCTTAACTTCAGATAAAGCAGGAAGATAATAGACTGTCTCAAAAGAGTAGGTGTTTCTCCATGGGAGGAAAGCCACTTGTCTTTCTGCCTAGGTACATTTTTTTTGAAATTGCAGCTATTCTGGTTTAAACTTTCAAAATAATTTTGTGCAAGCTAGAGCACAGAAAGCTTCAGCCTTGGCAGTTGACAAGGAATATCCATTATGATCCTGAACACTAATAAGAACCCTCAAGCATTTTTGGTAGAAGCTCTCTGAATGTGCTGCTTCTGATCAAGACCAGCACACAGGTGACCTGTGTTGTTCTCCAGGCCTGTTCTCTGTGTGTGGTCTGTAGCACAAGAGATGCACTGAATTTTGTATCACTGCAATAGTGATTAAAAACTCTCAGACTTAGTGGCATTAACAGTGTATGGAAACATGGCAGTTTCCTGAGCTTTAAATGTGGAATGATCACACCCCTCTATGGCTTTAATTGATTTTTGGTAGTGTGAGATGTAATATTTTGTTGAGTTACAAAAAGGATAATTGCACGTGTTTAAATCATTCTTACATGCCTGTTATTTAATTTATGGCTAGTTCAAGAGGGAAAGGACCATGGAGCTGGAAGGTACAGCCATGGCTTGTCTGCAGCTCCAGATGTCTGAGGTGCCAGCTGGGATATGGGAGCATCAGACCAAAGGTATGGTACATGTAACTGATATGGAGGACCAGGATCTGTGAATTTTAAGGTTTGGAAAGTGATAAAGCATTCAATTCTCAGTAGGGTACAGACAGCAAACATGGTTGGTGAGGCAGGAGACATCATGACTAAATATTTTGGTAGCAGTAATTCAACTGGAGGCACGAGATGTCTGAAGGACTTTTGTACAAATGTAATCTCGTTTTCAAAGTAAGACTTTTAATAGAGTCAAAGATAACTTTATTTAGTCAATATACCAGTAATTTTTCTGATGGTGAGGAGCTATGATGCTAACAACTATTTCCTTCCTTGTAAGAGTAACCCCAGTACCTCAGACATGTTTCTGTAATGACTGGACTGAAAAGTCCTTCAGCTGCAGAGCTGAGGCTTTTGTGTTTTCAAGATATTATACAAATTCCATTCTCTAGCAGCAGAATTTGAGACCAAAGATGTTATAGTAACCCAGATGTAGATGAGAACCTGAACTCTGAAAGGAGTTTTGGGCAGAGCTTTAGTACTTTTGACCAAAATTATTATTCCAAAAAGATCTGCTCAGAAGTCATTTGACCCTGGAGTTGTCCAAATTTATCACTCACTGACCTGCCTGACCTGAGAGTTACACAGTGAGTTCTCTTCCCCTGTGTTTGAGCAGCTCTCTGCCTCTCTGCCACCCAGCCCTGCTGAGCCTGAGGAGCTGTTCCCCATTCCCTTGGTGCTGCTGTGCTGGCAGTTACTGCCCAGGGTGACAAAGGCACAGTCACAGGCAGCGTCCTCCCGGGTTCTGCTCTGGCAGCTGGGTAGAAAACAGACACCCCAAATACACTGTGTTCCCATTTTCAGTCCTCCAGAATCTCTGACCATAAGGATGGTGGGTAAATGAGGTTGTGTTGTGTTCTGTAATTATTTTTTAAGAGTTTAAAAAACTCATGATGTTCACAAGGCTCTGACAGAGCAAGGGATAACGTCAGTAAAAGGAAACAAGTGCTTTCATAGGCTTCAGTTTCTTTTACTGCAATGAGGAACCCATTTCTGTGCCAGTTCTGGTAAGTGATGGGCTGTTGATAGGTGATTGCAGTAACCCAAAAACACTGCCAAAAACAGCTGGTTCCAGTAGGATCTTGAGTCAATAACATCCCCTAAGTACTCCACAGTTAGGAGTTGAGTGACACAACAACAAATGTTGTGTGCAGGCAACTCTTGATTGAGGTAGTGAGGGTTTCACTGGAGGCTTGTTATGCAAGAGCAAGACAAACATTAGAACAAGGAAAGACAGTGGGAGACCTCTGATTAATAAAGTGATATCATGCTTTACATTCCTGAAGTATGGAGAATTAATAATTTAAATCACTTTACCGACTTACCAACATCCAGTCTAAGGCCACAACCAACACTGGTGCTGTACTTTCTGTTCTGTGTATACACTGCCTTGGAACCCTAAAGCTGAAATTGTGTGTGAATAATCTGTACATTACAAATATGGAAGCAACATGTCAAAAGATGGAGCAGTAGCAGGGGGTTGGTCAATGTATTTTTAGTGTTTATGTTCCTGCTCTTCAGTCCACAGAGAAATGGTAAAGACTGTTTTGGTTATTACCAGCCTTGGAGCCTCATGCAGAAGCTTCCTGTGTAGGGAAACTCTTTCCCTTTTATTTATTTTTGTAATAAATTTATTCATTTTGCCCTTCACGTGGCCAGAGACAAGTACCCTTCTGATCACATTCTTGTGTCAGGAGTGTTACTGATTTCCATTCACACTCACCACCAAAGTCATTTGAGCCCTGTGGGTGCTGAATAGAATATTTCCAACCCAGGCCAGGCCTTGCTTAGCACCATTTGTCAGTAATGGAATATTCTTGAAATCATTCTTTAGCACTTTGTATACTTCCTCATGCAGTGGATTATGTTACAGGCATTGCTTTTTGTTTAGGGATGGACACTTGAGCATGAGGACTTGATGCTAAACAAAAATCTCTCCTCTGTGGTGTTTGGCTCATTTTCAAATGTCATAAGGAAGTAATCTTTACTGTGATGCTGTAAGGAAGAGGCATGCATGCTATTTCTGGGAGAAACAAATAATATTCTCTCACATCTTTTTTAGAGGAAACAGTTTTTTATTTGTAAAAGCTTTTAACATGGCATTATAAATTGTGCCTTCATATAAAGCTTTGATAAGCTGCAAACTGAACAGGCAGCACATCTGCGAGTCTTAAATACTCAATATCATAATATCTATTCATTGTGAGAGTCCCTGACCTTAAACTGTAAGAAGGAGTCGTTAGAGCTGTGTGCTGCACGATGTCATGTCCCTCAGTGTCACCCCAAAGGGGTGATTTGGGGTGAGCAGTCTAAAGCAAGTCCCTGACACACAGCACTGCTGGACACACTGCACTGCCCACTTGGTTGTCCCTTTCCTGCAGCACTGCCTGCTGCTCACAGCTGATGTACCTCTGCTGGAGCACGAGCCAGCTGGTGCATCTTTCAGCTTTTGTATTATTTGATTAATTTATCTTATACTTCTGTCAAGCCAGGCTTTATGAAATAGTGTTAACTGAAGTATACACCAGTCATCAAGTACTCCTTTTAGCTTGTGATTAAGCAGGGCAGACACATTAACTTTAAAAAAAACCCTGTTCTTTGAGGACTATTTTCTGTTTTCCTCATAATTGTGTTTGATATTTAAAACAGGTTTTTAAAGTCTAGAAGCAGAGGGAGGCATCTGTCACTTGCACCTAAGAGCGTAACAGTGTTTGTGTTTGTCACTGGGGAGAGGTCCCTGGCATTGCTCAATGCACTTGTAGTCTGAAGAGGAAAGTTCTGGGACTGCTGTTTGCTGTCCTCACCTGTGGACACTGAACTTACCCCTTCTGTAACTATCAACCTGGGTGACTTTCCCCCCAGAAGAATCTGCCTTCGTGTTCTGCATGAATCCATTCTGAAAAGGATTCATTTGATTTTGGCTTTTTTAATCAGCACCTTCTGAGCCAGCTTGGTTTGGGTGCTTCACAGAATCATTCACACAAAAGACTTCCCAGCCCACGGAGTCCCAGCTGTGCCCAATCCCCACCTTGTCCCCAGCCCAGAGCACTGAGTGCCACATCCAGCCCTTCCTTGGGCACCTCCAGGGATGGGCACTCCAAACCTCCCTGGGCAGCCCCTGCCAGTGCTTGACAACCCTTCTGTGAAGAAACTCCTTCTGATGTCCACCCTGAACTTCCCCTGGCACAGCTTCAGGCTATATCACTACCCCATATAAAATATTTTCTTCCAGCTGCAGCTGCACAACTTCAGACTGAGTGGCCTCATTACCTTTGGGCTTCCTTCTTCTGGGGTTCAGCATCATCTGTTTAAAAAACACTGCACTTAAGATCTTTATTGTTACACCTTATATTTTGCACTGTCTCTGGTATTCATTCTTGATGAGAGGAGTTCAAAACTGCTGGTGTTTTGATTAATATTCTCCCCTTCTACAGAATGCATTTTAAAAGATGCAAAATTGACAATAAATTCTTGTGGCTGATGAGGTTGACTCATGTTCTGCATTAAATAAAATCACATGGGATCTGGGATTTTCTCAGTCTTGCTTCAATTTCTTAGCAGTCATTTCATCTACAGAAAGTGATCTGTGTCTCAGCTAGTGTGAAACAAGGAACAAAGAAAACAAATGTCAAACAGAAGTTAGTCTGGAAATACTGTGTCATGATGGTGGGCACAGGCAAAGGTTGTATATTTTGGAACCACCTTCCTTACACTGAGTCAATCTGGGGACTGACTTTTCATGCTGAAAATAGATTATTTTGGTTTCCACAACTGTGCAACTGCAAGGGCTGCTTTCTCTTTTATTTTCTGTTTTCCCCTCCCATTTCTATAGGTCACAGAAATGGTGTATTAAACCACAGTTTACAGTACAGAATGCAGAACCTGTTGAGTCTTGGACCTTCCCCCAAGAGCTCTGTTGAGTTTGTCCTTCTCCTGGCTGGAAGTACCTCACAGAGTACATTGCAGCTTTCTGGCCAAGATTTCAAAAGTAATTCTTGGATTGTTTTTGAGGTGCTTAACTTGGAAGACCTTTAAAAGGCACACAGAAGCTCTCAGGCAGGTTGGGACTCAGGGGACAAACATCAGGAAATTGCTTATTCTCCACTAGCATGGCTCTGAGGTAGGGGGTACTGACGTGGTCATGATCATTTTACAGCTATTTCAGGAACATGGCTTAAAAATATTGAGATCTCCAAATCCTGCTCCCAGCTGACAGAATAGAGCCTGTAGGATGTCACAGTGACACTAGGCCAGGTCTGGTTATTTCTAATTGATTAAATGCAATGAAAAGGCATCCAGGGTTTATTATGAAATTTGAGATGGAGAGCCAGTCCCTGCACTCCAGCTTCATTATCCTCATAAGCAAAGGTGCAGCTGGTGTAATTATACAAAGAATGTACACAATATGAGTGGTATTTAGCATTAAAAGTAACTTGAATGCAATCCATGTCTGGTTGAGAGAGGAGCAGAACCACAAACCCTTTGATGTAACAATGAAGCTGTGAAAGGAATAGATTGGGTACAGTACTGAACCTGTAATCTGCTCACTTTATTGCACTACATGGGGAGGGCCTTATTTATTTACTACATAGGAAGTGTTTTCAATTTTATAACTCTCTGAAAGAAATCACAGCTCATAATTATGTAACTTTGCTCCACAGAGCTCCGTAATACTCGTAAGAACCTCTGGAATTCTTAGGGACTGTCTGTTAAATGGGAGACATCAGTCTTGCCTTTGTGCTCTAATTCTGTCTGGGTCTGTACTAACAAAGGCAGTCTGGATATTGCCTATCAGGATGTTTACCCTCCATGCTGTCCTTTGTTTCTGAGCTGAAGCCACTGGAATCAAAGGCAAAGACTCCCATGTACACTCCATGACTTCAGTAGTGTTCACCATCTTAAACCATTTTGCAGTACCTGGAATACTCAGAGGAGTGGTGTGCTCAATCATGGTTACCAGAATTAAAAGT